ATCATCATCATCATCATCATCATCATCATCATCATCATCATCATCATCATCATCATCATCATCATCATCATCATCATCATCATCATCATCATCATCATCCGCCTCCTCCCCCTCCCCCCCTCCCTTTTCCATTCCCCACCCAGAGAGGAGGGTAAGAGGGGGCGCGAAGGGGAAGGAGGATGACGAGGAGCTCAGCTTTCGGCCGCTCGCCCCGCGGCTACACGGCAAAGAGTGGCCCTGGGCAAGAATGACCTTTGGTGCGCGGCTGTAGGGTGCGCTTCCCCACCAGTGGCCGCGCTTCCCTGTCCCTCACCATGGCCAGGAGCCGGGCCCCAGGCATTTTTGGCCCAGTCTGGGCAGCGGCCCTGCCGCTCTCTGCGCCCCTCCAGCACCGGGGCTGCACTCCCCCCAGTCCAATGTTTGCGTTGTCGGTGTCCCCCGACGGCCGACGGGCTGCTACGCCCGGCTACGCAGCGGTGCCCCTACGGGCGCGGCCCCCCCTCCCGCCCCACGTTCCCCCGTCCCTGTGGGCCTGCATTCCACTTCTTTGGCCAGGCCGAGTGGCCGCGCTCACGCGCCGCCCCCTCTCGCCCTGGCCCCTTCCGCCGCTCGCCCAGGCTGCCTCTCGCCACTGGTCCGCCCACTGCGGCTGGCACGCGCCCCGGGCGCCTGCCCCGCCGCCCCCTTCCGGGCCCCGCGCCCCATTTGGGTCGTGAGTGCGCATCCTTCGCAGCATCTGCCGAGCCTCCGGCGTCTCCCTGGCCTTACTAGCAGGGTGGCCCATTCTCACTGTGGCTGCGCCTGCTCGGTGCCTGCCCCGCGCCTGTCTCGTGTCACCTCGCGGCTTCCGCAGGAAGTCAACAGCGTGCACACTCCCCTTCGGCCTGCTGGCCGCACTTCCCCCGGCCTCGGCGCCGGGGCTGGCCCTGCCGCCCGCGCCCCCCCATGTTCTGCCCGGCTTTCGGGCCCCGCCGCCCCCTCCTTTGGGGCCCCAGCTTTCATCTTCTCGCGAAGCTGTGGTCAGCCAACGACGGCGCGGACTGCGCAGCGGATGACAGCGGCGAGACTCGCGACAGTGAGGCTCTGGAATCTCGGGCAGCCCCAATCTTGAAGATGAAAAAAGTCAGCCCTGCGAAAGTCGCAGTGCGCGACGGCAAGCTGGCTGGCCAAAACTGGGCGCACTTCGAGGGGGATGCGCGGGGGGCCACCACCACCACCACCACCACCACCACCACCACAAACCACCAACACACCACCACCAAACCACCACCACCACCACAACCCACCACCACCACCACCACAAACCACCACTACACCACCACCACCACCATCACCACCACCACCACGACCCACCACCGCAACCACCACCACCACAACAAAGCACCACACCACCACCACCACAACCACCACCACCGCCACCACCACCACCACCACAATCCACCACCACCACCACCGTCGTCCTCGTCGACTCTCCCTGCCGCCGCCGCCCGCCGCCGCAGGCGCCGGCGCCGGCACAGAAAATGGAATCGTCGTCCCCGCCGCCGCCGGCAGCCGCCGCCGACGCAGGCGCCAGCGCGAGGAGAGGGAGAGAGAGAGGAGAAGTAGGGGAGGAGAGAGGGGGGGTTCGAACCTTCCCCCTTTCCGTCACGGGAGGGGGGGGGTCGAACCCCCTCCCCTCCATCCAGGGAGGGGGGGTCCGGTTCCAAGCCCCTCCCCCCACCAAGCGACCACAGAACGCGCTTTTTCTGATCTTACGCATTATCAAAAGATTATCACAAGTCTTCCTCTCCTCTCACGACATCAAGTTCTCCTTCAACGGACTGGCGACCGCGACGAGGTTGACGGACAGGACCTGGCGGCGGTGCACGTTGGGCAACAGCTGAAGAGCCAGGAAAGGGGTACACCTGCACGCGGAGCATCTCCTTGGTATGGCCGCGGTCCAAAGGCAGGAGCAGCAGTAGGGAGGTAGCGATGAGATCGCAGCTATCCTCCAGAAACAGACGAAAAGAACCAGCTTCAACAGCTGCAGCACGGGGCGGCGAGCGAGATGTGTCGTCATCTCTGACCACTGCCGGGGTGCCTCGCTGGCGGCACATATAAAATTGAGAGAAAATGTCAAAGCCGACGCCGTGATGGAGCGACAGAAGAAAACCCACGTTCGCACGAGGGCTCACCGTGGGGATCGGTCGAGAAATATGCATACTGTGGGCGGCTCGCCTCAAGCCAGCCCCTCGGTTGCAGGCGAGTACGAGGCCGCAGGGCCACGGTTTCGTACTTATGTCAAAACGGCTACGCTCCTCCTCCTCCTCCTCCTCCTCCTCCTCCTCCTCCTCGTCCTCCTCCTCCTCCTCCTCCTCCTCCTCCTCCTCCTCCTCCTCCTCCTCCTCCTCCTCCTCCTCCTCCTCCTCCTCCTCCTCCTCCTCCTCATTCCCTTGCCACCAGGCGGTCCCCAGGGATGGCCCGAAGAAACCCTTCAAAGCCACCCCTTTGCTCCCAAGGATTGTTCGACTCACCCTGGTTGCCGGCTCCGTTTCACTACATGTGTCTCTTCATTCCTCTTCCCGTCAACTCCCATGGGCAGGGTTTGTGAATGCGCTGACGGGAATACTTTTGGCCTGCGGGCTCACGAAGCAAGTCGAAAAGCGTCCGAACATTAGCCGGGCCGCGAGCGACTAGGCAGCAAGAAAAGAGAGGCAAGCGAAGCGAGCGTGCAGGCAGCCACTCAGAAGAAAAAACAGGAGGAACAAAAAAAATCGGTGGCGTGGAGATCCCGGTGGCGACCACCAAGTAGGCGCAGCCAAAATGGCGCGGCGGCACGACCATGAACACGCAGAGGTCGATCACTCGGTGTGAGTCGCACAAGGCCCGTCAGATACGAGCACGACCGACAGGCACACCCGGACGACGTCCGTGCCGTAGGCGGCACAATAGCATCGTGTCAGCGCAAGAGTGAAGAGGGGCAACCTCGTCACAGACAGGACTGCAAACGGCAGTACCTCGTTTGTACAGCAGTGGCACATGTCGAAAGCGAAGTCCATGTAGGAGAAAGCAGCCGACGGGCGCACAGAGCCACACATGCCGAAGTCCTTGCACCGAGAAGGACAGCAGCGTAGCGAGACCCCACTGAACCCAAACGGTCGCCAGTGGAGGCCGACACCAGACAGGAGCAGGCCAGGGGCCACCTGACCGCCCATCCCCAGTGTGATCCTTGCATGGAATTCGTAGCGAAACCTCTCGGAAACCGTCCGGTCACCAGTGGATGCCGACACCAGCCAGGAGCAGGCCAGGGGCCACCTGACCGCCGGTCCCCAGTGTGAACCTTGCATGGTGCATGGAACTCAGGCTGTCAAAGATCAGACAGCGGTATTGGCGGCAACCCTAGCCGCGTGGGATAAACCCGGTGAAACAAGGGACAGGAGGGGAAGTGCACACCAAGCACGGTAGGCACCGCGCTGTCGCAGCTAACCGCTGCGGCATTAGGATGAAGGAGGGGAGGAAAGGAAGTGCACGCCAGGCACACACGCGGAAGGAGAGGAGGGGAGAAAAAAAAGAAACACGAGCATCGGAACCCAACAGAACCCTTTCGGCCATCAGCAGGGGGGAGGGGGGGTGGCGCCCGCCCACCTCACCGCCCACTCCCGGTGTAATACTTTGCGTGAGAACAAAGCTGGCGGAGCACCGTCGGACAGCGGTATTGGCGGCAACCCCAGCCGCGAGGGAAACTCCCAGTGAAACAAGAGGGAAAGTCAGCGAACCGCTGACGCAAAAGGAGAAGGAGGAGAGCTCACCATAACCCTGTGCGCATCGATGCGCACGCCAAGCGCTCTGTATCGAAGCCTACTTCAGTAAACCCGCCACTGGGACCAGCTTGCCGTTGTCCTCCACACGAAGTCAGGGTAAAGCTGGGCTCTTAAAGCCGCGAAGTAGCGTGCAATCACGACGATGAGGTCTTCCATTGGGCTAGCACGCCGTCCCACATGCGCCAGCTGACGGGGATACTTTTGGTCTGCGGGCTCGCGAAGCAGGTCCAAAGCCGTCCGAACACTAGCCAGGCCGCGACTAGGCAGCAAGAAAAGAGAGGCTAGCGAAGCGAGCGCGCGGGCAGCCAGTCAAAAGAAGAGCCAGGAACAACACTCCCAAATCGGTGGCGTGGAGATCCCGGTGGCGACCATCAAGTAGGCGCAGCCACAATGGCGCGGCGGCACGACCATGAACACGCAGAGGTCGATCACTCGGTGTGAGTCGGCACAAGGCCCGTCAGATACGAGCACGACCGACAGGCACACCTTGACGACGTCCGTGCCGTAGGCGGCACAATAGCATCGTGTCAGCGCAAGAGTAAAGAGGGGCAACCTCGTCACAGACAGGACTGCAAACGGCAGTACCTCTTGTTTGTACAGCAGTGGCACATGTCGAAAGCGAAGTCCATGTAGGAGAAAGCAGCCGACGGCGCACAGAGCCACACATGCCGAAGTCCTTGCACCGAAGAGGACAGCAGCGTAGCGAGACCCCACTGAACCCAAACGGTCACCAGTGTGGAGGCCGCCACCAGACAGAAGCAGGCCAAAGGCCACCTGACCGCCCATCCCCAGTGTGATCCTTGCATGGAATTCGTAGCGAGACCTCTCGGAACCCTTCCGGTCACCACTGGAGGCCGACACCAGCCAGGAGCAGGCCAGGGGCTGCAAACGGCAGCACCCCTTGTTTGTACAGCAGTGGCACATGCCGAAAACTGTCGGGGATTTTTTGATCTGCGGCTCCAAGGACGATTCCAGAGAGCGGGTCGTATAGAGCATGGAACAGCACGCACTGACGGGGATGCGCGAAGCGTGAAGAATAATTTTCCCTGGCAGAGGGGGGGGGTCGGGATCCCCCAAATTATTTCCTGGGGCGGGGATGGAGGGGGGGGGGTTCTGGGCCCCCAATTGGCTGGGGCCCGGGGGGGGTCCAAAGCCACGCACCCCTGGTTTGGGGAGGGGGGGTTGAGCCCCCCTCCCTGTCAGCAGCGGCAGAAAGCACTCTTTCGTCGATCCTGACGGCATGAGTTTGCACTGCCAGTCCAAGCCCTCCCCTCCTTCCTACCGGAGAAGGTTCAGGGGGGACCGGCTCAGGGGGGGGTCCATCGAGCTGGAATCGGTGATGCATCGCCGATAGATCGGCGATAGGCCCCCGCTAGCGTGTCCGCACGCTCCTGGGCGGGGCGGGCTATCGGGCCCTTGTCGAAGATAAAGAAGCGGCTGGGGGTCGGTCGATGCATCCCTCCCTGAACCTATCACCCAATGCTGGCCTCTGGCTTTCGGGTCGTGACTCCGCTCTCCAGCGGCCGTTCAGGACGATCCGGGCACCCCCAGAACGCCCTGCGCAGCTGCCGGAGAGCACCCCGAGGCTGGAAGACCCGCCGAGAACCGACGAGCACGCCCGAACACCTCGAGCGTGAGTCCGTCACTCCAGCATTGTCTCCTGACCCTCCTCCGCCCGATCCTCGAAACCCCGCGCCGCCCCAGGCGAGGGGGCCTCCGCGACCTCGCTCGGTGCCCTGCCCATCCCCAGCGATGAGCACAGGCTCGTGCCCGCATTCCTCGCCAGGCCGGCGATGCCGCCGCCCGCCGCGGCCGGCTGGGACGCCGGCGCCTCCGCGATGCCGCCCATCAGCTCGTCGTCGTCGCCGCAGGGCGGCGCCGCCGGCGCCGCAGGCTCCGCCTCGACGCCGCCGAAGGAGGCGGTCGCGCAGCCGCCGCTGCCGAACGCGGGGCAGTCCTCGGGGGCGCCCCCACCGCTCATCGCGCCGAGGAGTCACGGCGGCGGGCCTCATGCTTGGCGGCTGCTGGCATCCTGGGGCCCCCGCCGGGCCCCGGGACCGTCAGAAGTCAGCTCGGGAGGCATGCTGGTCTGGGGGAGGCGGTAGCCAGACCCCCGACGTCGCGATTTCTTCGCAGCGGCGACCCCCAGAGGTCTGGGCCCCTTCCCCTGGTCTGGTTTTCCATCCTGAGTCGTTCTCTGACGGCCCCGAGGCCTGGTAAGGGGCCCCGGAGGCCGAAAATAGCGAAACGCCTCCCGTCATCGCGAGGAGGTCTGGGTACAGACCTCGCGAAAATAGCGACTCCTTCATATGGCGAGGAGGTCTGGGTACAGACCTCCTCGCGAGCCTCCGCACACGGCGACGCACCGTCACGACGTCGGCGCTCTGCGGGGGGGGGCGCCTCTGCCGCGCACGAGGCTTGCCCGGTCGCACCCCCCGCCCTCCGGCGGCCCCGCCGGCGGTGGTGCCCCCGGCCTTTCGCCGGCGGGCCAGAGCCGCGCCCCCCCCCGAGCAGCCGACGGCCCAGAGATCCGACGTCGTGATTTTTTCAATGCGCGGCCCCCGGAAGTCTCGACCCATTCCCCAGCACCTGATTCTCATCCTGGGTCGTTTTTTGACGGTCCCGAGGCCCGATCAGGGCCCCTAGGGGCCGAAATTTACGCAAAAGCTCCGCCGTGATTTTTGTCAATACGCTGGATCTCTGGGGGTGACGCCCTGCCAGGAGAGCTGCAAGAGTGGTGATGGTCACGGGCCCCCTGGCGCAGGAGAGCCCAGAAGCGGATCGATGAGTCGGGTCGACGATCGAAATTTACCAGCCTGGAACATATCCCTATCCCCATGCTGGGCATCGCCTCATCACGATGCCAGTCTTAGGGATTCCCTCAGCTTTTCAGGGCGCATCCCCAAGATTGCCATCGCCTTTTGAGCGTGTCAATCTTAGGGATAGGGATAGGTTCGAGGCTGGTGAAGGAGAGCTGCAACAGTGGTACTGGTCACGGGCCCCCTGGCGCAGGAGAGCCCAGAAGCGGATCGATGAGCCGGGTCGGCGATCGAGATGGATCGAGCGGGCGGAATGCGGCAGCCAAGTCCAGGAGAAGTCGGCTCGGCGGGGCCCGGCAGGCCGGTGCGCCTCCACGGAAGAGCGGAGCCCAGCTCGGAAGCCGCAGTCGAATCGAATCGGAGCCGGAAGCCATCGCAATCGAGCCGAATCGGATCGGAGGAGTCGAAATGAGCCCGGAAGCGAGCCATCCTGGTTACAGCTCGAGGGGCGCGCGGCGCGGTGCACAGATCGCGCTGTGCAGCACGGTTGGCGCCCGCCCGCCCGCCAGGGCGTGGGCGGGCTGCGACTTGGAAAGGGCTGGCAGCCGAGTTCAGCCCAAGCCGCTCGGGTGTCAGAGACGTGCGATGGTGGTGATCATGGCGACGACGAGAACGATGGCCACGCGAGTGGTAATTGAGTCCAGTAGTTCAACGTGGGTGCGTCGAGGCATCGCCAGAATGTGCTGGGCAAGGCGACCAGAAGTGATCGAAGGCATTCGAAAGAGCAGGTACGCGAGCTCGCCTCTCCCTCATCGTTCCTCGTCGTTGCGTCAGCTCTTCCTGCCTCCAGAATCTCCTCACCCCCCATTCGTCGGTACCCTCCCTATTCCTCCCCATTATCCTGCCTTCCCCTCCCCCCTCCCTTCCCCTCACCCTCCCTTCCCTCCCCTCCCCTACCTCCCTCCCCTCCCTCCCCTCCCCTCCCCTCCCCTCCCCTCCCTCCCCTCCGCCCCTCCCGATCTCTCCCCTCCCCTCGCCTCCACAATGACACAACGTGAACACTGCTCTCCTCTCTCCCCTAATGACGTCCAGGAAAATGATTGGCCCCCCTCCGCGTGCTGCTTTCTTTACATACCGGAAATCCGGGAGTTGGGTTTTCGATCGGGATTTGTTTTCTATCCCGCTGAAGCGCTGGCCTCATTTTCGGGCTTCTGCTCAATTTCCAAATCATGTTCCCGCTGCAGCGCTGGCCTCATTTCCGCGCTTCCGCTCGTTCCGAATCGTGCTCCCCCTGCAACGCTGGCCTCATTTCCGCGCTTCCACTCGTTCCGAATCGTGCTCCCGCTGCAGCGCTGGCCTCATTTCCGCGCTTCCGCTCGTTCCGAATCGTGTTCCCGCCGCAGCGCTGGCGTGATTATTCCCAGTGCCATGCCATGGCATGCAGTGCAATGCTATGTGGTGTTCTGCTGTGCGCTGCCATGCCTTCAGCTTGAATGATAGGATATGCAGTGCTTGACGACTACGCAGTGCCACGCAATGCTATGCCATGCTACGCTTTGATTTTCAACGCCATGCTATGCCATGTTCTGTTGTGTGCCGCTGTGCGATGCCATTATTTGCGTTACAATGCTTGGTGATGCAATTCTTCACAACGCAACGCCACTCCATGCTATCACATACTACGCTCTGCCGTGCCCTTCTACGCCCTGCTATGCCGTGCTCTGCGATGCACCGCGCACCCTCTCGGGATCGTTGCCCTGCTCGACATCCGACTGTGCGAATGTGGGGAGGAGACCTACGCCATAGGCACGGGATGGGAGGGAGAGGTAGGACGTCAGACATGACGCGAGCGCACCTAGCTTCCCTCCCTCCCCTCTCCCCCCTTCTCCCCCGCCTCCCCCCGTCATCCCCGGCGAGGAGGGAGGCCGTGCACACGCGGAGGCCCAGGCTCGCCGCTGCGGCCAGGGTCCGACACGCCGTCGCACCCGAAGGCCGCGGTGCCGCCGAAGGCCGGGCGGAACCCGGCTGGCTGCGCGTCCTGGGTTCGGGAGGGGGCGGAGGAGGGGGAGGAGGGGGAGGAGGAAGAGGAGGAGGAGGAGGAGGAGGAGGAGGAGGAGGAGGAGGAGGAGGAGGAGGGGAAGGAGGAGGAGGCAGAGGAGCAGGAGGAGCAGGAGGAGCAGGGGGAAACGAAGGAAATGGAAGAGGGAGTGGAGGAGGAGGAGGAGGAGGAAGAAGAAAAGGAGAAACAAGGAGAGAACCAGAGTAAACCCAAGATGCATCAGCGATGCATCGAGGGTAATGGGAGGTGGAGGACGGGGATGAGGGGAACAGTAGGGGGTGGTGGGTGAGGATGACGATGATGATGATGATGATGATCATCATCATCATCATGATCATGATGATGATGGTGATCAAGATGATGATAGTGATCATGATCATCATGATCATCATGATCATCATGATGATGATGATGATGATGATGATGATGATGATGATGATGATGATGATGATGATGATGATGATGATGATGATGATGATGATGATGATGATGATGGAATGATGATCATGATGATGATGATGATCATGATGATGATGATGATGATGATGAGATGATGAGGATGATGATGATGATGATGATGATGATGATGATGATGATGATGATGATGATGATGATATGGAGAAATAGAAGAAACGAACGAACGAGCTGGCCTTGAATCCCGCCGTCTTGTCGACGAACAACCCATCCTACACTAGACGAGCTGCACCTAAGATCCTGCCTACATAATGTAGAAAACCAATCGTTTGTGCCGAAGGGCCTGCTGTCGCTACTCAGCGATAGGAGGAAAAGG